TTTTTTATGCAAATTGGACATTTTGTAGAGGAAGACCTAATTTATCGGATTTGTCATGAAAATTTTCCAGTTTTTATACAAGGTGGTCAAAAAATTGATCGAATATGAGGTTCAGAAAATGTGGAAAACTCAAAATTTTTAAACGGAAACCCCCTATTTTTTAACGTATTCGCATTCTGCACTAAAATTGAGTGTAACTTTGTTAAAGTTTCCTTATATCTAAATAAACGAACGAATAAACATTTCCCTTTTCCTAAAATGGTGTTCGATTTGTTTCGCACATTTTAGGTTGGTTGTGATAGTAACAATCTACGTGACAACTGTCACACGTTTATTCATTTCTATGAAGAAAACCTAAATGGTAAACTATAAACAGGCATTTTTCGAGTATTTTTAAAATTTCAAATAACTTTTTCGATGAGGGCGCTACTTAAATATTTTACAAAATTTTGAAAATAACTATTTAGAAAATTTACCCTTCAAGTAATTTATCAACATGAGGTCCCCTCCTCACAACAGTTACCTTGTTAACAATTTTTTGCAACTGTTTGATGACCAGTGATTTGCCAACAATGGACTGTTTTTATGGCCGTCTCAATCATTAGACTTATCTGTGCTGGATTATTTTATTTGGGGGACAAAAAAAATATAACAATAACAACAAAGGACAATAGTACGCCTAGAGTAAGGCAAGCATTTGAGCATCTATCACCAGATTCTATCAGTGCAGCAACCCACAAGGAATTAATCCGAAGGTGTGGAAAATGTTTAGAGTTCTAGGAAGACATTTTGAACATTTAATAAAATAAATTTGACCATTAAAAACCTGTGACAGTTGTCATGTTGATTGTTACTTACCTGTCACGGCCAACCTAAAATGTGCGAAACAAATGGAAACACCACTTTAGGAAATAAAATGAAAATGACAGGGTTTAGGTTTTAGTGCAGAATGTGAATACTTTATAAAAAAATTGGAGGTTTCCGTTTAAAAATTTCGAGTTTTCCACAATTTCTGAACTTCATATTCGATCATTTTTTGTGGCCATCTTGTGTAAACACTGAAAATTTTTGTATCAAATCCGATAAATTAGGTCTTCCTCTACAAAATATCTAATTTGCAAAAAAAAAATAAACCTATGTTTCCGGGAAAACTAAATTTTGCTGACAGTCTGCATCTGTCAATTTTTGCCTAAAAATCAAAATATCTCGGAAACGGTCAATCCTAAGTATGGAGTGTGCATATGTTTTCAACTTAAAAATAAATGCTCTTTCAAAAAATGCAATAATATACAGGGGATTCCATTTAAAATAAGAAAGTTAGTATTGACTTCTGGTATAATTAGAAGTACGATGACCTTGAAAATATTTTAGCTTGGTAGGCCCCACGGCCTGTATCATACAACCACAATTTCAAAAAAATCCTTAGAGTGGTTTCCCAGATATCCATCGATGGAGTTCTTGGTGAGATACATCAACGGTACCAGATTCTGTTTAGTAGTACATTTGTTTTTAGTCGTGACCAATTTCATCCTTTTTTAATTTTTCAAGTATGACATTCTATATATTTTTGGAAAGCATAACATTTTTAATTAGGCAATGGCAATCATGCTTTCCATTAAAAAAAATGTAACTTTGATTTGTAAGTTAGGAACCTCTAATTTGTTAAAAAACTAAGATAAAATGTCAACAATTCAGGAAAACCTACAACTGTAGTCGCAGGGGTCACACAAAATATCATAATCTTGATTGGCTATTACACCAAAATTAAGAAAACACATTGAAAATTTCTCAAAAAAAGTTGGCAGTTCAATTTTCTATCTTTAATAGTAACCGAGACACTTCAGCAAGACAACAAAAATGGGATGGAGATTTAGTTTCTTATACCTTAGAATTATTACTTACATTTTGTACTATTTTATTTTTATAAACATATTTCCATAAAACAAATGCCCATTGGAAATATTTAATTATGCTTGATAGGAAGTTATTTCTTTATCTACAGTTGTTTTATATTCACAATCATTAACCAAGCATAGTTTTGCCATAATATCATGGAGATTAGGTTGTCATTAGCATATCTTGCTTATTAGTAAGTATTCATTCATACGACATAAATTCATGATGGGGAAAGACAATACAGGGTGTTTCATTAAGATTGCAACAAAGCTTAATGGGAGATTCCTGAGGTTACAATTCTGTGATTGAGCCTCATCAAATGCTACATGAATAAATGTTTACACTACAGTTAAACAGTTTTTTATATAACGTTGGTAATTTTAAAAGAAATGTTTTTTTAGGTTGAGAATTTTATACTCATTAGTAGAGGAAAGCAATGTTTACTTAATTTTTGGCATATTATGAGGTTGAAAGAGTTTTTACTTATTTCTATGATAATTTATATGCCTCAATAATGGTGTGTACATATATGTTCAAGACAAATTTTGTAGGCTTGAACAGGTGCTCTCTGTAATTGTAAATATATGTATGTATATGTACTTAGTACTCGAAAAGCATCCGACCTGATCTAAACTGACATGAACTGATCTGAAGTTTTTTCCCCAGATTTTTCCCCTAGACTTTTTCCCCAGACTTTTTTCCGTACTTTGACCATAATCAACTGTACTGCAAATTAAGTGGATTATATTAATTTCATTCTAAAAATGTTTTGAATAAACACATCAATTAAAATGTTTTTTAGAATCTTTTCTTTTAAGCAGATAATAAAATTGCAACCTCTTGCTTGGAACTTAATTTTTATGTTATTTCGAATTTTACGTAACAAGTTAATTTTCTTGTTCACTGTACATTGAACAAAAAATAATTTTCATCTCCAAAGATTTTCTAAAAAATTAACCAAATTTTCATTATTTTTAGAACTATGTACTTTCGACATGTCGTTGAAGAACATATAAAATACAATTTAATAAAGACATATTTGCCAGTAGATTTGTGATTGTTCCGAAAAAATTGTTTTTTTGTTTTGTTTTTAGTATTTTAGGTACATGAAAATAGCAACTGCTCAATGTAAAGCAAGAAGAGCGCCAGAAGAAAGGGCCCTAGCTGGCGAGACCCAGCCAGGACAAAAGAAGGTCCCACGAAGCGCCTACACCGGCCGCATTTGTGATCGGGGTAGACGACGGATGGGGCCCACCTACAGAGGCTGTCCAGGCCTACACGAGATGTGGCAGGATAAAGAGGGATAATCCCCCTCGATCCCAAATTATTGAGGCCAATTTCTAGCCATGGAATAATGGCGCACGCTCAATGTAAATCACTGTAAAATAGATTACAAAGCATTTTTTAACTATATAGAATACGATTAACGCTACTATATCACTAATAATTTTCCGCTTACAAAGGGTGGTTACATCACTGTCCCGCTGACAAAGGCAAATGTTCGCTTGTTAAAAACTATCGTCCAGAATACACAGCAAAAAGGATCACAGGACGCCACTGGTGTTGCCCATAAAATATACAGAATATACGAAATCATTGTCATATACCCATTAATTTGAAGCTAAGAAATATTATTTTAAAACGGAGATAAGAAATTTTAATGTTTTCTGATTCAACATTACTAACAATCCGCGACTAAAACTAAGACGTTTGAACTACTTCATCAGAAAAAAATAAGTTATGTTACAAAGTGACAAAATTTGAGATACGAAGGTTTCAAGTAATGCTGTTTAATGCTATGTAGCCAGATTTTTTAGTAAAGAAATTCCTAAATAAATTTGCCAAAAAATCACATAAAAAAACATAGCAGGCCATGGTTTACTATTTGAGTTGGTTCAAGAAGTACAAGGGGAAATCCAATATAAACCAGAATTTTTTTCCCAACTCTCGTGAGGTAATCTAATCACCTCAGCCTCTCATTATTAGTTGGGTGGGGGTGTTAGGACAAGAAGAGACTACTTAATCAATTCCTCAATGAATTTTGTTATCAGTAGCACCATATCAGAGTAGAATTAAGTTTTTAATGCTACAAAATGTAAGACCTTCTGAAATTTTACAAAGGTTGATGAAACTGTTTGGTGAAAAGAGGATACAGAAAACCCAAGTGTATGACTGGTACAAGAAATTTTACCCTGTGGCCGGGAAACAGTAGAAAAGTGTTATTTCTGCCGACCTCAGAGCATGGAAACAAACATTGATGCATTTCACGAGCTTATTGATAGTGATAGGCACCTGACGAATCTCTGAAATCATTTTGGAGGTTGAAATATCGTTCAGAAATGCACCAAAGATTATTACAGATAATTTAGGTTTGCGGAAAGTGGGTTCCTTGCTCAATGATACTCGCAGAGCAATAAACCAATTTTGGAACTTGTGAAAGGATTTTGGCACGATCTCAGGCAGATGAAGAAGAATTTTGGCATATTGTTGCCTGTGACGAAGCATGGGTTACTCTTCTGAATCGAATAGGGAGAGAACAGAGTTTAGAAAACTCAAACAGAGCACCGCAAAGGTGAAAACAAGGCTTTCTGCTGATTTTTTAATAGATTTTTTCCATTGAACAAAAACAAGCACAAAATGAATACTATTTTTGAAATTTTTACTTTAAAAAAATTTAAATTTTCAGCATTAGTAAAATGTTGGCAAAATTAGATTTTTTAAAAGTTTTGACATCCTTCAGACTGAAAAAGAGCAAAGTTTTAATAAGGAATATTTAGTTGAACCACCCTCAGGTATTTCCCTTTAAACTGCGTCCCATTTCTAATGCAACACCCTGTATATTTCGATTCACTTCAACTTACTCACACATTGATCTACTCTAAGTAACGTATGTACAAACATTTACATTCGTTCACAAAATCTTTCAATTCCACGATTTTCAACTCTTACTCTTTACTATTTACACTTCAATCGCCTACCGCACAAGTTACCACATACATTGAAACGCTTTACATCTCCCGCGTTTATATTCACACTTCGAAATTCAATGAAGAGCGCAAATATTACCCAATATTAGAACTATCCATCAAAATCCACTCCATCTGTTAGCTCTCCTCAAGAGTCCCGTGGGTCCTTAAATGCTTATTAAAATCGTTTAATCTGTTAAATTTCTTATTGCATACGTTGCAACTGTACTGTTTGTCATTCATATGCGAGGAGATGTGTTCTTTCAGTTCGGTGTTGGTAACGAAACTACTGTCGCACTGAGTACAATGGAAAATCTTCTCGTTGTTGTGGCGTTTCATGTGTATGGCCAGGCAACTGGACTGGGCGAAGCCTTTGCTGCAAATGTTACAAACGTAAGGTCGTTCGCCCGTGTGGGACCTCCTGTGGACTATTAGGGTACTTGAACCATTGAAACCTAAAAAATTTTTAACCATTCTATAGCTGAATATACACGAGCAGTTTTATCGACCGATTTGAATTGCGTAAATTGTAAAGACAAAGGCTGGTTTGGGTCACCAAGAAAAATTGTAAAATACCAAAATTTTGGCGGATAAATTGCTGCCAAATAATTTGGAGCGATTATTTTGTCACGTACACTAACACAGTGATTAAACGGCAGCTAAATCTGTCGTGAATTATCGGGCGATATTTTGTAGAGCGTCATCAGCGTATTAGTACATGTTGGAGGAAATATCTGCACGATATGTGAAATCGGTTAATTTCTGTCTTGAGTTCAGAATATACTACAAATTCAAATATGGCATCAAAAGAATTTATTAGTGGTCTGATCGATTTATATCGTAATCACCCGTGTTTATGGAAAACAACCTCACAAGAGTATACAAATAAAAATATTAAAAACGAGAGTTATAAGGAATTAGTGGCGTATTGTATTCTTTCCACAATAACCGTGTTTGAACCCACTTTGTTCGCTTTTTATTTCTTTTAACGTTTAATCGTTTAAAGTCGTTTTGGTTCATGTTTTTGTCTCTGATTTTTTGGACTTCCGAAAGATCAACGATGACAGAATAATCTTACCAAATTTAGAGATAAATCTTTGTCAATGACACAGACGTAACGAATAACAGTCAGATAAACTTTATACCATAATTCGATTCAATAAAACTTCGCATTAGTGTCCTCACTAAGATTTGTCTGAAAGATTTTTCTTAACGACTTATATAACGATTTTTTTGTACAATTTATCGCTCCAGTAAGTCTTTGCGCGTGTATTCAGCTTATTACTAACTAAATGATGCTCGCAAACTGTCTCTACCTGTTAAGTTTTTAAGACATTTTAAAAAATGGCATGAGTTTTATTATTTTTATAAACATTTAAATCTTTAAACGTTTCATTTCAACAAGAAGGACATAGATTTTTGTTCCAAGATTGTACATAGTTCTGAGAAACCATCATCGTTTCTTTTGCAACTTTCTTATTTCTTATAGCGCCACGTTGAATTGTGTGGTGAACGAAAAAGCTTACTAAGTTTTCCAATGGTGTATCATAAGTACAAAAAATTCAATAAACTGTCGAAAAAACGTAAGAAAAAAAACTGGAAAAAATTGTCTGTAAGAAATTGAGTACATATTGCACAATAAAGCCTTGAATTTATAAATAAAACCCTCAAAATTAATTCACACTCCTAGCATAAATAATATTGTATAATAAAAATTACCTTTATTGCAAATATCGCAGATATGAGACTTCTCCCCGGTGTGAGTGCGCATATGTTTAGTCAACTCGTTCGACTGGCAAAAAGCTTTTTGGCAAACGCAACACACATAAGGCCTCTCTCCAGTATGCGTTCTTATGTGAGCTATCAAGTTTGAACTGGTAGAAAACGCTCTCGGACATATATGGCATTTATGCGGTTTTTCACCTAAAAATATTTAATTGGGAACCGTAATATAAGGTGCGAGATAAGGAACGTTTTATTGTGTACTTACCCGTATGCGTCCGCATATGTTTTTCCAAATCCTGTGCCTGACGGCAACCTTTATCGCACACTGTACATCGAAATGGTCTCTCATCGGTGTGCATCCTCAAGTGAATTTTAAAATTGCCGCTATGCGAGAACGCCTTATTGCACACTTTACACTTGTAAGGCATGTCAGTCGAGTGAGTTTTCATGTGTCTACTCAGTTTCGTGGCAGTTCCAAATATTTTATTGCACGTTGGACATTGTTTACCTTCGTTTCCTTTGAGGTCTTTCTTACCATTTAGTTTGGTAAATTTCTTTTTGTCCTTCTCATCCGAGGTCATCACGGGGGGTAGCGTTTGCTGCATTATTGGTTGTAAAGTTGGCATTTGGGGTTGCGGAGGCATCTAATAAAAATTATAGTAATTTAAAACACATTTTTTTAATAATAAAAAGCAGGGCAATCACTCACTTGCATTTGAGGTACAACCTGGTTATGTAACATATTCGTAGCCTGCATCGGTTGTAGAGGCATAGTATACGTTCCGTTATAAACTTGCACTTGACTAACGCTTTGTATGTTATAACCCAATTGTAAGTGGTTTTGTTGGATATTATAATTGATTTGACTAAGAGGAGGTTGATTTTGCGATACAGGTATAAAAGTGTTTTGATCCTGGGGCAGCGGTTCTAACATCGGAGGACATTCTATATAAACACAATTGTTCTGTTGCGTAGCTTGTGCAAGTTGTTCCGTAATGCCTAAAGAATCCAGTTTATCCATTTGTTGAGGTTCGGAAATTTGTTGCATTTCTTGCTGCTGCTGCTGCTGAATACCTTCCTGTTCTTCTTCACTGGGCATACTAGCCACAATTTGCCGTAGCTTAGCATCTGATTTTTCGCACTGTTTTTTAAACTGGAAAGAGATGTGCAATTTCGCAGAGCATTTATTGCAAATCTGAGCAGGTAATCCGTCGTTCTGCCAAACCTTAAATGTGTTTCAGTAAATACATATTACGTCTAGTTTGTTTTTAAATTTACCTGAACTGAGGCGCAAGCCATCATTTTCTTTGATATATTTACTTTGAATATCGACATCATTATACCTCCATTTAGACAAATTCTACATATTTTATCAAAATCTAGTTCCATGGCTTAATCCAGTTTCTAAACTGAATTTAAGAAAATTTTCTTTTCTTTAGTTTCTTTGTATACATTAACCTACAAACATAAACAATACATTTTTAGAGATCTGTCAAAGTGTCAAAGAGCCAGTAGTACCAATATAAAAAAATTGGAAATATGAATAAAATTCTCATTGAAGTTGCAACTTTATTTATTGCAGCAACAGAGAATATTCGTTTTTATAGTAGTAAGTATTTTATTATCTTAATCATATCTTAATAATACTAACAAGCCATATTTTTGTTCGTTAAAATATTGCGTGTAAGAAGAATTCTATTAATTCCACTCTACAAATTCTTTCGTTCTGTATTGCTACTGCCATCTAGCATGTAATAGGTACCTTCGAATGGCAATGAAGGATGTCACTAGTAGCCATAAATTTTAAATTTAAACATAATTAGTTACTTTCATTTTATTTAGTGTTCTATGTGTATTTGGATTGAATAAATTATTCCTAATTTGTTAATAATTTCAAAATATACACAGTTTCCTTTAACATTAAAATTTAAGTTTCTGTCTTCTTTGAGGTAGTATGTATTTTGTTCCGTATTAAACTCTTTGGCATTTGTAGAAGTTTCTAATTGCTCCCAAAAGTAATACATTCAAAATGATCTCATAGTTTAAAATGAGTCCTCTTGTTTTTTATGTATAAAACAAATAATAAAATGAATTTATGTATTTGTATTAATGTACCGACGGACGCCAAAGACTAAAGCTCTGAAAAGCCATTAATAGATTGCTCAATTCATTAGCCTGCGTAAGGTAACTCGACAAGGTAGGCTAACCTAATAAACCTGACACCGGAGGGGTTGATTGAGGGCGCGAGGGCTGCATAGAACGTGTTTACGTATTATCAGGATTATTAACTGATTGGTGTCGGGTTTCGATTGATTCTACTCATTACCTGATTACCCGGCCGCATTGAAATTCTTCTTCCATGATGGAGTGGAGCAAACATCAAACGATTTTAATTTCGTTGCGATGGGAATTTATAGTTTATTACTCGGTGGCGGTTTTTTCTGGTCCCGCACGGCGGATAAAGCAAATAAATAGGGGTGGAGTTGAAACGTTATTGTTAATTGGCGGTGACTGTCGGGAGATACAGGGCGTGCTTGAAAAGTATTGTGTTGAAGAAAATGTCACCGTTAACTTAAAGGCAAAGCTTCTATAATGCATGGTTTCTGTTTAAAATGATTGTTGTTTAAAATTACAAAAAATAGAATACTTAATCCTTGATTAATGTTTTATTTTATAGCTTTTTCAATTGCAAATACAAATACGTATTTTTTTGTTACTTTTTATAAGCAATGGTCGGAAAAAAAATAAAATAACGAAATGTTTATTGAAACTATTTTGACGAGCTGAAGTTCACCCATTTACTCGTGAAACATCCTGGGCAAGTGTTTTGAGTAGTGATGGGAGATTTCGAGTGAAAAATCGAGTGGTACTCGATTATTGAGACCACTCGAGATATGTCGAGATGTTTACTCCCACCACTCGAGTGATTATTACCCTACGGTTGCACCCCAAAATGTTAGTGCATACTGCAAATAGTCACTGATTGCGTAACCTTTTTTTTTGGAATAAAATGAAAAAGTGGTTAGGTTTTGAAATGCGTGAGCTTTTTTTTTTTTTTTTTAGCTACGCTTATAAGTAATATATGACTAATTCAAACATATTTGTGCGCCGCTGGGATGAAAACGACCAATATCTCGTATCTCGAGTGATCACTCGATTATTAGAAGTACTCGATTACCGATAACTCGATTATTAAAATTGGTCGATTATGCCCATCACTAGTTTTGAGGGCTTAGATACACTCTCCTCATGATTTAGCGTGGTAATTCAAAAATGAATCGGCCGTTTGAGTGGCGTGTGCTGCGGGTGGTTCCTGTCTTAATCCCATTTAGGTGGGGCGGCCCAATTTAAATATCTCATTAACCAGATTGCCGGTGTATGTATCTGGCATGCCCATCACATGTTACGAGGGGGCCCTAAGCTGCGGTCACGTGTGCTAATCACAGATTCATGGAAAAAACTGAGTTTTCAGATTTGATTAAATGAAACAAGGGCCACATACCAGGTTTACATCTCACAGTTATGAAGAATAATTCAGTACTTTTTTAAAAGATAATGAAAAATATTTAATTTTTATTTAGCGTTGGATGGTGTATTTTGTGAGAGTTTATGCATTTGAAAAATTTTTGTAGCAGCTGCAAAGACAAATATACAGGGTGATTCACAAACGGTGACCAAAAATGAAACCTCGTATTCTTTGGTGAATTTTAAGGGGAGTCTTTCGTATAAAGTTTGTATCTAGGACACTTCGCTAAAAAGATACAGGGTTTAAAGTTCAAAAAATATCTTTAATTTTTTTAATAATATAAAAACTAGTAAGTAATATAATTTGAAATTGGGCACATGTATTTATGTAAACGTTGTCCAAAATCTGAGGCCTCTTTCTAAAATGTAGTTGGACCAGTGGTGAAGATACAGTGGCATATTTTTCCAAATAAAATATGTAGTACGCCACTGCTTTACGGTAATAATCATGATATTTTCCGATTCGTCTTTCAATTTTCTTCTTGAAGACAAAAACATGAATTAGGTAAAACCGTTATTTATTTAAAGTTTGAGAAACAAAGAGAATTATAAGTATATTTTTTAATCTCTCGTACTTATTGTACACGCCAGAAAGATATTTTTGTTAGTTACTTAATTTTGATTAGTTACATAATTTTTCAGTAATATATTTTTTAACTATTATATTTGAGTCTCAAAATTACAATATATGACAGGTCTTAGAGGTCTATCTCTACTAATAACGGGTATGCCATAAACATGTCAAGACAGACATAAACTTATTTGCTTAGAAACTAACCTTATAATCTTACACAATGAGCTTTATGCCAAACTTTTTTACCCACATTCAGAGATCACTTTCTGTATCATTTAAATGCTGAAAGAGCGTTCTTTACAATAAGTAAAAATACACGGGGTACTCGTTTTTCGAGGCCTACCATCTTAAAAGATGTAAAATTGCTCAAATTAGGGATATGTTGCGGAATTTATTAGCGAATAAGTTACTCAAGAGAAACTTGGCATAGCTTTTTTTTATTTCGAAGAAATCGTCCAAAAACTGAACATTTTTATTTTTGTTTTAATTTTTTTAATCTAATTGTAAAACAGAAATAGTTGGAAAGTTGAAATAATTAAAAATACAATTATTACATTAAATAAATCCAGATATTCTTCAAGTTAATTGATATACCTTCTTTATGAGAAAGTTACATTCTATTTATCTATTTTATAAAAAAAATAAAAAATAAAATAAAAATTCTCAGTCACTTACTGTGGGTTATACAACTGTACCCAGTTAATTGTTTAAATTGTTATCTGAAGGTGAACATCATCAGAAAAGAAGAACAATCTTTTTTACAATTGTGTAGCATATAAAAATGAAATTTAAAAAGAAAAATTTCTTTTAAAATTTTTATTTCTTTTTTCGATATTTTACATTTTTTGATGAAAAAAATATGGATTTTTTGCGAAAAAAACTATCAAATTAAAAACATGGATAAAAGATGCATTTATTCTTTAATTGATTTTTAGCAAAAGTGACAATTTCAACCAGTCGGATCATAACTAAAATATATCGTAGCAGTTTGAGCTCTCAAGGGTTTTTTTAGGATACTTTGAGGTAAAAAAAATGAAAATATCCTGCCTATTTATCATTTGTAAAGTTATCTCAAGTTTAGCGAGAAGCCTTAAATACGAAATGTTTTACCTTTTTTTAATCATATTTCCTGTACCTACTGAAAAAAACATAAGAACGCCTTATAGAGGATATTTTGTAGTTTTCAAAACCCTGCTTAGATTTTCTGTACAATCATAAGTACCCGAGTATCAGCCAAAAAGGTCATTTTTGCTATGAACGACGCCAACTCAGTGACAATCATTGTATAAAACTCCCGAACAGCTCAAATTAAATAGAATGAAGAAAAAATATTAAAGGACGTGGACCTTTTGAAAGAGAAACAAAATATTGCGATGTTTCGCATTGTATTAGCTATGTCCTGTCCAAATTCGGTTAGTGCGCCTCTCTTGATTCCGAAAATTCAATATCTATGTATGATTTCAGTCACGTAAATTGAATAATTCCAAATATTTCGAATTTTCACCACCAAGAACGGGGGTAAGAACATTTTTAACAGTAGGTAAGGCGATGTTTCGCATTGTATTAGCTATGTCCTGTCCAAATTTGGTTAGTGCAACTCTTCCGGTTCGGGAAATTCAATACCTATGTAAGATTTCAGTCACGTAAATTGAATAATTCCAAATATTTCGAATTTTCACCACCAAGAACGGGGGTAAGAACATTTTTAACAGTAAGGCGATGTTTCGCATTGCGTTAGCTATGTCCTGTCCAATTTTTTTTTCCGCTGGAATTCTTATGATTTCTTAAAGGCGATAACAATTTGTGACTTTCCTGAAACTGAGATATCCTGAAACTAGAAACTTCAAGCTTCAATTTGCTTTTCTTTATTGCACTACGGCCAACCGAAGTTACAGCCTTTGAAAATAAAACAAAAATTTAAGTTTTTTTTATCCTTTCAATTTTGTAAATAGTTTATAAAATATATATTAAATTTACTTAACTTTAATGTGTCTAGGTTAACACTGCGTTCTCCTGCAACCTTCTGTTTGCCTATCCCTCGCACAAATCTCCTAAAAGCTTGCCCATTGTTTCAGGTATGTTTAAGCTATACAAAAATTGTACATCTTGTAGATGTTTTTAATTGTGCCATACACTACATTAAATTAAAGAAAACAAACTATATTTTGAGCATGACCTAAATTGACCGAATGTAAAAGTGTTATTCATACGTTGTTTGTAACGAGCGTTCAAATAAAAACGTGGTCAAGTTGGTTCTGAAAATTTGGACGTAGGGCGTAGCGTATAGCAAATGAACTTAAACGTCTATATCGCCGCTATCAATTTGAATATTTTCGTTTTAAAAAGCGT